AAGACTTGAATTCATTTCCTCAGACTCCTCATATTAAAAGGAGAAAGCCAACTCCAATAAGTTGCTTATTTATTTATTTATTTATTTATTTATTTGCACCTCCAGAGTCACTACATGACATTTTTGTACTCACTCATCCATGCACATACACAAAATAAATGTTAAAAAAGTGACAAATGTTATGACCTTCTTTAATCTTTTTATTTTATTTTATATAACCAAGTCCATTTAAATGAAAACAAAAATTTATGGACAATATTTGGGAATTTGGGCGTCGTTCTTTCCAAACTACTCCTGCTGGTAAGGGGCGCTGTCACGGGGGGATTCGAAGAAGATGCAGAAATCCTGGCTATAGTCTATAAGGCTGCTTTGTCCAGCTGTTTTGAATGTAGGATCAACTGGTACTCTGTTTCAGGCGGTCTGGCTTGATCAAACCACACTAGTCTGGAAGGAATCCGCAGTTATTCATTTTCTGTGGAAACAAAAATAGACATTCTTTTCCCCAGTAACTTGAACTTAAATTTTGGAGTCAAAGCATTTTTTTTATTTAATTTATTATTTTACATGTCGATCCCAGTTGGAGGGAGGGAGAGAGGGAGGGAAACCTTCTTTAATCTTAATAACAGTTTCATTTTATCTTTTTTATTTAATATTTTTTATTTTACATATCAATTCCAGTTCCCTCTCATCCTCCCTACTGACCCCTGCATCTCATCCTGTATCCACTCCCTAAGAAAGGTGAGGCCTTCCATGAGCAAATATCAAAATCTGTCAAGTCATTTTGGGTAGGGCCTAGGCCTTCCTCCTGTCTCTGGTTAAGGGTGTATCCCTCCATGGGGAATGGGCTCCCGAAGCTTATCAATGCACTAGAGATATATCCTGGTTCCACTGTCAGAGGTCCCATAGACTGTCCAGGCCTTCTAACTGAGACCCACGTTCAGGGGGTCTGAGTCTGTCCTATTCTGGTTTCCCAGCCATCAGTCTGGGGTCCATGAGCTTCCCCTTAATAACATAATCTTACAGTGATTAAAATCATGATAAAATAATTATGCCAGTTACTGTGAATGTATTTGGTCAATAGAGACAGAATTTTGGCAGCCAGCTGCAGAAAGAACAAAATGTTTCATACAAAGTGGAATTTGTTACTTTTCTATTGCTGTAAAAACACCATGTCCAAGGCAACATATAGAGGAAGGGTTCATTTAGGTCTGTGTTTCCAGGGTGTTAGAAATCATGATTGTGAAATGGAGCAGAGTTCATGATGGCAGGAGCAGACACCTAAGGGCTCACACTTGAATCATGAGTGTAGAATAACACAGAGAAAGTGAAGCTAGAAAGACCTGGCCTTTAGAATCTCAAAGCCTGTCCCAAATGGCATACTTCCTCCAGGGAGAACATGCCTCCTAAGCCTCCCAAAAGCAATTGGAGGACAATACTACAATGCCTGCTGAAACAATGGGGATATTTCTCATTCAAACCATCACAAAAGCAAAGAAATTGTAAAGTCCCTGCTTCAACAGTGAGATTTGTCCGTGGAAGGAAAAGGAAAACTAGCTATTATGTCTGGGTCATGAGGCTTCGGTGTGCCCACAGAGGCTGTGATTGATGTGTGTGGCCTAGCCTACACAGGACCAGAGCAGAACAAATCCCCACACAGATCCTCACACTACTTAAATAACAGTTTCACTGTGAATACTGGACAGTAATGTCTGAGAAATAAGCGACCTTATCTCGCCTTCCTCCACCTCGTATCTGGCGAGGTGGAGGAAAGTGCAATATACACTCCAGAGTCATCAAAGGATTCTCAGAAATTGCACCTGATGGAGTCTACATGGTGCCACCAAAATTAAGCTATGCTGTTTGCTTTTTAAATTGAAAAATATTCCCCTAAGGAACATGTGATGAGTAAACTGGCTGATGGAAGGTAAGAGTAACTTGAAACATGAAGATCAATGTATATATCCCTTTGGTTACACTCTAGCAAATGGAAACCCATTTCTCAAGTCATGAAGTCTATTACAATAGTTACAACAGTATTCTTGGCACGGAGTCACAATTGCTGCAGAACTATATCTTTCTGAGTGAGATGATTGGAAACTATTAGAGAAGGCATGACTTGTCACGCTTGTTAACTATCAGCTGCAGTTTCTAACTCTCCTGTCATTCCATAGGATACTGGAAATGGGAAAAAAAAAAAGACAGCAGAGAGATATGACAATAAGAGATACTCTGCTTGTCCTAAGAAACAGCTCAGTTTAATAGATAAACAGTCATCATCGTTATTATTATATAAATTATAAAATATTAACTGCCTTACAACACGATAATGATTTTCTACTCGGTGTCTGTGTATCTACTTATTAATCATATTGTCTTATTGGATTATATGTGTAACTTCACAGCTAGCAAAGCAGTATTTCAAACATCAGAGTCACAAAGATAGAATGAGACCCTGTTGCCTTGGTTATAATTCTAATGAACCTCTCCTACTTAGTGAAGAGGTCTAATGACTTAAGATCTTACGAACTAGTGGATGTAAATGTACTTCAATTGACTTCTGAATTTTTTCTAACGCCTTTCAAAGTAATGGCTATTAACATGTTAGCACATTTCCAATTTACTACTAATTTTCTATCTCACTTTTCAAATATGTGATTAAAGAAGTATACAGTACAACGATATCCCTATGTCCCTAGGCTTCAACCAAAAAAAAAAAATTGCTTTGATTTGTTAGTGTAATGGTTGTCAGGAATGGCACAGTCAATATCCTTCCTCGCATGAATGTCTAATATATAACACTCATGATTTTTATCAATTCATCCAGGATTGTAGCTATGTTCTATGGTGAACAACAGAAAGTTTCCACTTATTTACATGGTATATTGTTTCATTCTACTCTGTGAAACTCAGGAGTTCATTTGTCACCAAGTCACAGGCTCCAGATTTGTTCCAGACTTCTCCTTTTATCCCATTTTCTCAGTCTTACTGCTTCTGCTTGTTCTTTATTCACAGTAATATTTTCCTTTTCCCTGGCCTTTTGTTTATCTCATTTCATCCACTCATCAAATATTAACTGAACATTGACTTAACTACTTTTTACTGTGACAAAATGCATGAAAAACAACTTGAAGGGAAAATTTCCTTTTTTTATTAATAAATTTTATTTAAATTAGAAACAATCTTATTTTACATACTAATACCAGTTCCCTCTCCCTCCCATCCTCCCATGTTCCCCATTAACCCCCCCCCATCCACTTCCCAGGGAGAGTGAGGCCTTCCATAAACAAACATCAAAATCTTTCAAGTCATTTGAGGTAGGGCATAGGCCTTCCTCCTGTCTCTAGTCTAAGGAAGTATCCCTCCATGGGAAATGGGCTCCAGAAGTCTACTCGTGCACTAGGCATACATCCTGGTTCCACTGCCAGAGGCCCCAAAGATTGCCCAGGCCTCCTAGCTGGCACCCTGGGGGCCTGGTTTGGTTTTACGTTGGTTCCCCAACTGTCAGACTGGGGTCCATGAGTTCCAAGTTGCTTAGGTCAGCTGTTTCTGTGGGTTTTCCCAGAGTGGTGTTAACCTCTTTGTTTATCACTCCTCCATCTTTGAAACTGTATTCCAGGAGTTTGGCTCAGTGCTTAGCTGTGGATCGCTGCTTCTGCTTCCATAAGCTACTAGATGAAGGCTCTAGGATGGCATTTAGGGTAGTCGTCAAGTTTAGTAACAAGAAAGGGCATTTAAGGTAGCATCTCCACTATTGCTTTGATTCCTAGTTGGAGTCATCCTTGTAGATCTCTGTATAATTCCCTAGTGTCAGATTTCTCTTTAAACCTATAACGGCTCTCTCTATCGATGTGTCTCTTTTCTTGCTCTTCTCTGTTCATTTCCCCATTCAGTCTTCCTGAAAGAGGAAAACTCATTTCTTTGGCTTGTGGTTTAAGAAATTTAAATCCATGCTCCTTGGTTTCATTGATTCAAAACTGATGATAACACAGAATGCCATGGCAGAAAGAGAAAGGGCTATCCAAATATGGTGTGCAGGAAGCAGAGAAGTACAAACAGCCTATATCCCCAAAAGACATGAGTTTCCCTGAATCACACAATTCTTCAAGCAAGGTGCCATCTTCTGAAGTCCCCAGATTCTCCCAAAGTAGCGCCACCCTCTGGGGATGAATCATTCAGTTCATTTGCCTGTGGGGAACATTTCCTATTCAAGCCACACATGTAGGCTACTTAATAGCACCTTAAGGTTTAGATCAGTGGGAGAGAGTGTTACATGAGGTTTTGTTTGCTATAAAGCAAACAGCTCTTTACCTAAAGACCCGTAGAAACTGGCGATGACTTTGAAGCACTTTGGTGACTCCCGCTTACTTCTGCACATTCTCTGTCTTGTCGCCAGTCCTCCGTCTTCCCATGTGGCCATCTTAAGAACTGGCATGGTGATTCTATTCTATCCTTTGTATTTCCTATGTACTTCCAATGGGGGAGTGGTAAGAACGAGGAAGGTGGCTCGTTACATAAAATTACCCTCTCGGGTAGTTACAACAGTATTTATAGACATATCTGTGAGTTGATACATGGAAACATTGACACCTGCTAAAGCTATCTGCCACTGTTTGTAAATCATAGTCCACACTGTGGAGGGCCCTCCACAATGAGGAGGGCAATATAATTTCATAATGCTCTTCATTGCACATTAACTTTAGAAATGTAAATATCACTTGTGGGAAAATACTGCAGGGTAAAAATATTTACAGCTGATTTCTGTGCCTCTGATAAATAAAGAAATCTCAATTATTTGGGAATTCATGTGTCTGTTTCTACATTTGCATTTTTCTGATATTCTCTTAGCATGTAATCATAACAAGCATGTCTTCTTTTTACTTCATTGTTAATTTAGAGTTAATGAGAAATTGTCTAACTCATTTGGACACCTGTCTTATTTCAATCATTCATTTTACGAGGGCTTAATGATGATAAGCTGTTGATGGTCATGTGTTTCCCAGGAGAGGAAGTGAACAGACAGCTATGCAGAGATGCGATCTTTCCCATTCCTGTGGCCTGTGATGCTCCCTGCCCTAAGGACTGCGTGTTAAGTGCATGGTCCTCATGGTCCTCCTGTTCACACACCTGCTCTGGGAAAACCACAGAAGGGAAACAGATCCGAGCTCGTTCCATTCTGGCCTATGCAGGTGAAGAAGGTAAGGTCTCTTCTGTCTCTTCTGAAAATTGATGGCCATTTACTTTTGTGTAGCCTGTATAAGATGACATTCTATGAAAATGAGCTGACAGAAATCTAGTAACGAATGACATTTAATATTTGCTCATGTGGTTTGATTATATTCCAAATAATTAACTTAGAAAATGGATCTTTAATGAAGGACAAATGATTTTTTTAAGGAATTTGCTTTTTTCCATTCACCTAATAATTCATGTTCCTTCTACTCCAAAGTTTACAAAGCAGGAGAAACTGAGAAATGGATTCTAAAAATCCAAACATTTCTTTTTTTCTGTTTCAGTAGTTAGTTTTTAGCCATTGACAGTCTAAAACTGCCATATATGTATAACAAGAACATTTACTTTAAATTTTATCATGGTATTGCATGGCTAAACACTGTGTATGCCCTCTACCATTCATATTTTTGAGCATTGGCCCTGAGATCCACAGAACTCAAACCTGAGCTCACCTTATGGGATGAATAAGGCATGATTGCCACAGATCACACCTCACTGCAAGCTTTATTGCCAAGTAATACAAGACAGTAATTGTCTCCGAGCTGCTCTCCAAATGCTAATTTGTCCTCTGTGTGACTGGGTGAGACAGTGTCAAACTCCTGTATTTCTGAAAGATAACAGAGGATTTGGAAAGCACAGGAGTCAAATTCACACTGAGGCGCATGCACTTTGGGGATGTAGGTGTGTCGCTGCAGCATGCCACACTAAATGACACTTCTCCTTATTCACATTTAGGGAGGATAGATCACAGTTCCACTTTATAGAAAGCAGACACACCTATTAATCACTGAAATTAATTGATTTTTATTGTTTTTATGTCATTTGTGCCTTTTTATGTTTTCAGGCATTTTTGTCATGGTATCTCATAATATTATTTAACAATTTTTGTTGTTATTTTACATAATAACTATGAAGATTACACATAATTACCTTGACTTTATTGCACAAGTGCAACATATTATGTACAAAAGTTACCCTTTGGAAATTTCATAAGTTTTATAGAGACCTCAAATAATTTCCACTACGGATATACCTATTTGCTTAGAAAATCGAAAACTTTTAGAAACAATACAAATTTTTGAGAAAACAAAACAAAACAAACAAACAAACAAAAAATATTACTTTTCTTTTGATCTCAAAATCACCACCAGCTGGAAGAGACTACCTACACACATCAAAGTCTATCAGCTCAGATTATGTCTTGGGTTTCATTAAAATTAGATCTGTGGTCACCCTCTTCCTGTAAATCCATTATACTTGGCAGACATTTGCTGTGTGAGTAGTAATGAGTGACTTTTCACCCGAGTCGCATAGCAAGGATTTTGCTGTGCTTGCAAATTTGCGGCAGATCATTATGTCTATAGATGAGACACTTCAGGCTGAAAGGTCTTGAATGTTTTAAAGGCAGAAACTCATGGTTAGTATTTGATACATATCATCTACTTAATTTGAAAGGGTGTGACTTCAATAATTTCTAATTAAGTCTAGTAGCTGCATCCTAACCCAGTCATCCTGGGAGGTTACAGATGTTTCTGTAGTAGACCATGAGAGTATGTATACAAACATCATGCTAAGTACAAAGCAGACTGAATATCTGTAAGTGGATGTCTTACTGTCTGTCTCTCTCAATGACATTTATAAAAACAGTATAATTGTGTGAGACACTTAATGGAGAATTCATCTGCAAAAAATTTCTTAATAACTCATTTGCTAGATATGAAAATATCATTTTATCTTGTGGGAAATGAGACTGTTATGATACTGAGCTTTAAAAAAGGTTTTATTTTCTTTTTTTTTTTTTAGAGAACTATATCTATAAGAAGTCTTAAAATATGTGCCCTTATTGGTGATATTACATTCAGAAAAAGTAGGAATTTTATTATTCCACAAATATTAGAGCTTGGAATGTGTCACAGATTTTTTTATGGAACCTATGTGATAATTTTATAGGAAAATGAGATAAAAGTGATATGTAATATTTAGAGACAAGATTACACATTTTTTTAAAAAGGAAAAGGAAAGAAAAACCTATGTGTAGGGCAAATGTGAATGTGTGGGGTCACTGTAACATAGTAGGAAGTCAGTCACATGTGCTGGGGATTGAACTAGGCCTTTGTGCTCTAACTTTGAGCTATATCCCCAGTCCCAGATCTTGTTTTCTGAGTCTATTTTACCATAACTATAACTGTTACTGAACTATAGGCAGTGGTGGTGTTTTGTTTATGATCTAACAAATAAAACTTGTTTGAAGATCAGAAGAGCAAAGCTAGCCATACTAGTCGGCCATAGAGGTCAGGATGTGGTGGCATACACCTTTAATCCCAGCAGCCACAATAGTTAGCCACAGAAGCTGGGTGTTGGTGGTGCACACCTTTAATCCCAGTATTAGAGAGGAATATAAGATGGGTGAAGACAGGAGTACAGTGTGTCCAGTCTGCAGTCATGCTGAGGACAGGATCACCTCATCCTTGGTGAAGGTAGGAAATCTGGTGATTGTCTGTTTTGCTTCTCTGATCTTCAACTGGAACCCCAATATCTGTCTCTGGATTTTCATTATTCATGCTACAATAAGGCAGAGGATTGACTTACCCCAAGGAATCTGAACATCACAACAAAACCAAAACTTTCAGAGACAAAATTATGTTTCTTGACTTGTCAAACAGCACCTCTAGCTTTTATAGATTACGTTCAGAAAAGAAATAAAATTACATAGTAAAATGTTAATAAATGTAGCTTAACCATAAAGACAAGGGGCCTAACCTTTAGCCATTTCTCTCTGGTTGTTAATGTGAGTAAGAGTTTAAATAGGGGAGTAGTATTTAATCTTTGACCTGATTGTGATTTGGTTTATAGTGTTCCAAATCTGCTATGGCAAGATCCTGGAAAATCCCTGATTTTGTGAATCTCCACCACCACTACTACCCAGAGATGAATGTTTTTATTCATGGGGCAGCCTACTTCCTGCCATAGAATAACGACTTACAGTTAAGGAGAGACAGTCCAGTCAGTGGGTGTTCTATCTGCAGGATAGCATGCTGTAGGGAGGGCCTGGAGAGACACTTCAGCAGGTAAGAGCACTTGCTGATAGTCTAGAGAATTATAGTTGGAGAGTTAACAACCACCTGTAACACCAACTCTGGTGAACCTGAAACTTGCTCTGGCTTCCCAGGCACTAACAAACACTGTAGTATGCAAACACACAAGCACACACATATAAATAAAAATAGAGATGTCTTTAATAGAAATCAATCTAGTTCATTTAGTAATCCAAGTAATTGGGAGTAATGGAGGAACTCAGAACCTCATATCCTAGACATTCTGCAATAAAAACATGATATTACTTCTGAGACACCTTGCCAGAAATCCATCTTACTCTGATTAGAAAGTTGCTATATAATCATAAAATAATGAATGCCAAATCTTCAGAATTGCCTATAAAAATTAATGAAATACAGAAGAAATATTTCCAATTAAAGGAGATCAACAATGAGCAAGATGCCTAAATGTACTGCTTGACAGTGAATTTAATCCTTGGGCTATGATGATTATTAGGGGATAGTTGCAAGTTTGGATGGGGCTAGGAGTACTGGGTGTGCTTATTATTGGAAGGATGCCTTACTTAAAAGAAATACACACCAAGTTGTTCAGAGTGATGAGCCTCATTCATCAACTTTTCATAAATGATCCATGAAAATAATTGTTGATTCTGTGATACAATTGTGAAGGTGTCTCAAAAAAAGAATTTGAAAGAAGTTATTTGTGTATCTTTTCTTCCCATACAATCTTAGATAATTCTACACAGCATAGTATCAGCAATACACAAAAACATGTACAAAATAATTCATGCTAAAATGCCATTTGAAAACCAAATCACAATTGGAAGCACATACATATACTCAAGGCATGAACACTGGAAAAAGTAGACTAGAACTTTTAAGTTAAACCAGGTGGAAACAAAAAGTTGCTAAAGAAAGCTCCATGGGGAAGTGTTTGCCATGCAAAAATGAGGACCAAACCCAAAACCCATGTTAAAAAAAAAGAAAAAGAAATCTAGGTATTACGGAACATGCTATTATTCCCAGAGCTAGGTCAGCCTTGGTGAGAGAGATCTTCACATACACAAGGTGAACAGGAACAATACCTGGGGTTGCCCCCTGAATTTCACACAAATGTGCACCTGCACAGACATGAATGCATTTGCACAAACACACATATATACAGATGGAAAGGGATACTTGCCTTTCTTCAGGTCAGATTTTTAGTTCTTGTTTTCTACTTGTATAAAATCAGTAACATCAGCATTGAATGATTTTTTAAATAAGCATCTTTATGATAGTATGTAAGCTAGAGCTTGTCCCAAAGCTACTTTAAATTTATGTTGTCAAGTTCCAAAAGAAAGAAACCCTGTAACAGTTGAATCTGGCATGCATTTAATATCAGTAGTGGTGTTAATGTCAGTAGTAGTTATATTAATGCTAATATAAGCATTAATAATAGATTTTCAGTGTATTTCATTTTGAATCTCTGTGCAGATTTACAACAAACTTCATTTATAAAGGTAAGAATGATGCCCTAATACCCTCAGACAGTGAAAAGTGGGAATACATTTGTTTTTACAAAGTTCAGAATGACCTGATATAACTTCACTAGCCAAATGTCAGTGTTTTGTCATATCTGTCGTGCAGAGAGAATAGATGCAGATTGAAATAGAATTATGCCAATTTTCTCAAATAATTAGAAGCCTTCAGAATCACATTTTATAGAGGAAAAACTTGGAAGTAGTAGTTCTATTTTAACATGTTTGTGTTTTACAGTTTACTGATTTTTTGATTATTAGAGCCATGAAGCAGCTGTGTTTCCTAGAGAATTCAAAGACCCACATATACAAGCATTATTTGGTGTCTAAGGAGACAGTGGCGTGTCCCCATCCCCCTGCTTCAGAGGATTTGAGGATGCTGCACAATAAGAACTCATCCTCCTATTTTGCTAATGCTCTCATGACTCAATTCTCCCTAACACTTGCCATGCCCTGGATAGGACTTCTCCCCAAGCTGAATCTGCCATGAGAGGATTTGGGCTGCAACAGCAGCTGACAGTAAAAACACAGTGTCAACTCTTCCTATCCTACACCATATCCCCTTCCTTATCTTTGCATACATGTCCTTCCTCCTGAGAATGCTGCACTCTGAGTTCAAACATGCCCATATGCTAATCCCCAAGCAATACCTAGATGAATTCGTTTGCACTTAGTTTCACTTTTGCTTAGATAAAATGATCTCTTCTTTCTCATCTCAGAAACTTGCTACATAAAATCCTAGCTCTTCTTAGCTCATCCCAGTGCCTCAGCCCAGTGTCTCTAAACCACAATGAATCTTGCTTCTCTTAATCATTATTAAATTGCATACCTCTCAACATAATTCTGACATTCCACATATAATTTTGCTCATGTCTCAGCCACTTTACCCCTCCTACTAATTTTCATTATCACATTACAATATCCTTGAGTGTAGTGAACTATTTCTAATCCCTTTAATGTCTCTTGAAGCACCCCACATGCATGCTGTACATCACACTCCATATACAGGTATCCAGTTATCATTTTTAATAGGGATACACACACACACACACACACACACACACACACACACACACATATATATGAGTATCAACAAAACATGGCATATCAAGTTGCACATCCCATGTACTATAAGGCTAGGCAAGGTGACCTAGTATGAGGAGTAGCAACCCAAGCAGGCCAAAGAGTCAGAGACAGCCCCTGTTCCCACTGTTAGAAGTACCAAAAGAGGATCAAGCATACATACCTGTAATTTATAGGCAGAGTGTCTAGGTCAGTCCTATGCAGGCTCCCTGGTTGTCAGTTCAGTCTCTGTGAGCCCCTGTGACTCCATGATAATTGATTCTGTGACTTTTCTCACTGTGTCCTTAACCCCTCAGGTTCCTACAACCCTTTATCTCCCTCTTCTGCAGGATTTTCCCTAATTCTGCCTAATGTTAAGTTGTGGATCTCTACATTTGTTTCCATCCCTTGCTGGATGAAGCCTCTCTGATATAATTGGGCTAGTCACCAATCTAGTCACAGGAGATGGACAGTTCAGACTACGTATCTGCTGTTGCTACTAGGGATCTTTTTAAATCTCATATCAGTTGTAAATACATCCCAGAAATAACAATTCCCTAATTCTCACCATACGCATTCTAGCAAAGCTTTGGCAAGACTGATTTGTACAGGAAAACTTATGCTTCATATCACATACTTTGATTTTTCTTTGTATTTACAGAATATGTGTTTGGTATATGCACCTGTGTATCTGTGTGTGAGTATGAGCCTGTGCACATGCACGCAATAGAGGTCTGAAAAGGATGTCTGGTGTTCTGTGTTATTGCTATGTTATACACTTGAGATGGTTTCATACTAAAGTTGGGCTTACTTTAGCAAGCACTAGCCATCCTCCAGTTTCTGTTTCTGGCATCACAGTGCTGAATTACCAATCACTCAGCTACACCCAGTATTTGAAATGAGTTCTGGGGCATTGAATTCAGGCCCTCATGGTTGCAGCAAGTACCATTATCTATTGAGCCATCTCCATAGCCCAATGCATCTTGTCTTAATGCAGAAGTTTCTCCTAATAGTTGGACCATTTTACATGTGCATAAATGTTTCATTCTTTCTTTATATTGAAGAGATATCTTTTCTCACATTTAATTATTTCTTTTTAATGAATATAGATCTTTTTCTCACATAATATGTCCTGATTAAAGTTTCTTCCCTCTTTAACTCCTCTTAGCTCTCCAACACCTCCTCTTTAAAGGTTTATTTATCTAACAGAAGGTTTATAAGGTCCTTCAATCTCTTTCCTGTTGCTGAAATTATTAAAAAATATCTAAGTAACAGTTTTAGTGTAACGCTTATATTTTTACATATAAGAGGGCATTTTAAAATTCACTTATTACTAATTTTGTCAGAGTTCACATTTTATAATTTCTCCAAGACTATGGAAATACTCCCAAAGGTCCAAAATTGGGTTTTCCCATAAATAATAGACACTTTCAAGATTATATTGATCAATTTTTCTAACATAAAATTATTTCACAAACAACATAGTGATGCTGTAGTGACAGATTGCACCAAACCATACCTGTAAAATTGCAATGTTGTAAGGATACTCCCTTAACCTAGAGATAGGAGGGAGAGCCTAGGCCCTACTCCAAATAATTTGACAGATTTTGATGATCCCTCCTGGAAGGCATCACCCTACATGTGGAGTGGGTTGAGAATAGAATGGGAGGGGGTCAGGAGGCATGAGAGGATGAGTGGGTGAGGGAACTGGGATCAATACATAAGAAAAAAATAATATTTAAAAAAAAAGATAAAAGGACCTCACTAGAGCTTATCCTTGCAAGGATCCTACATCAGACCCAAAATGCTGATGTGGCTTTAATGTGGATTAGGGAGAGAAAGTAAATAGCCTTTATGTCTATAAACTTAACAGCTCTCTTGTAGTTCCTTGACATGTTATGCTGATGTTGTAGAAGTTATCTTCTCCCTATCATTTTTCCCCTAAGCCAAGCAGTCAATTCAAGTGTCAAAAGCAATTCAGAGTTTTAAAATCAGTTCTAAAAGTATATTATTTTTACAGTGAAAATGTTCAGAAATTTAACATTTTATCACAAATTTTAGTATTAAATGTAAAGGAATTGTTCAATAATTTTATACACACACACACAAACACACACACACACACGCACATATATATATATATGAGATTGCTATGGAGTTTTTTAAGGTTGAATACATCTAGCACCTGGAGGAAGGAACTTTGGGCATGCTCACTTAAGTCTCCCCAATACAATTAATGTGTTTTAGAATTCAGTATATTCAAATCCTAAAAGTCCATACAAGGGTTTTCAGGGTCATCCAGCAGTATGATAGAGGACAGGGTATTATGTTTACAGATGTCTTACCTTCATGAAGCACAGATGCTAATAAAAATGTTTAAGATAGGTTGTTTTGATGTTGGAACCACATTCACCAATGCAGAAATGCTTCTAAATTATTATTAACAAACTGCCAATTGATTAACTGCTGACCAGAGGGAAGTCTGAAAATATCTACAATCTCTGGAGATCATCTCTGATGTTGCCACTGGAATCAAATCATCAATGAGGTTAGCGATGAATCTCCAATTCCTGCCTTTATATTTTTACAATTGTTTTAAAAAGAATATAATCATCCTGCGTTCCTCATTAATACACTGGTCACATCATTTCAGATACTTGCGTTTATACATTTATTCACTTGGCTTCTGTGAACACAAATTAAAATCCAGCCTATAAAGTTCACACAATAAGGCTGGCACAAAAATAATTCCAGAGTGTTAGCCCTCACATCACAATTTACCAGTTAGAGTTGTTCTAGCTTACCATTTAATATCTCCAGTTTATTGCTTTGTACCTTGAATGCATTTCTGAAACACAGCAGCTAAGCAGAAGTTATGGCATAGTTGTCATTGCCTATAGTGATCATGAACATTGTTGTTCTGGCTGAAATAACAGTCCTATATATACAGAAGCAATAAAGTCAGCTAAAGACCATTTGGAAACAATAAATCCTAGTTGTTTGCTTAAGACTTTTAATATATCTCTGGTGTATTTAAAATCCCATCCAGACTTGGGGAAGTGTCTCCATAATAAAATACTTGCCTACCATGTGGACACCCACAATTACTTCCCCCAAAACTAAAAGGAAGTGTGTGTGTGTGTGTGTGTGTGTGTGTGTGTGTGTGTGTGTGTGTGTGTACTTGCAATTGAATGCAGTCCTGAGGCACCAGATCCCCTGTGATTTATAGGCCGGTGTGAGCTGTCTGATATGAGAACTGAGAACCAAACTGAGATCCTCTACAAGATGAGTATATGCTCTTAATGGCTGAGCCATCTCTCTAGGTCTTGGGACAAAACTGTATTAAAAATTTGATATTAGGCTGGCAAGAAGACTCAATGGGTAAAGGTACTTGCCCCCAAACGTGATGACCTGAATTCAGTTTGGGACTCATATTGTGAAAAGCAAGAACTAACTCCCACAACTTTGCATTTGATATACACCATGATGACATGTGCATACCCAACCTAATATATAAATAAATGCACACAAATGAACAAATGTAATAATTTTAATAAAAAATGATGTCCCCAACATCTTTGCTATCACAGACAGTGACACTATGAAAAACACCAACTTTGATGGTTCAAAATGACTGAAAAGATCTGCACTCTGAGTAGAACAATTTAAATTATCTTTTCTTGTAATTTTTACAAACCACTTCTTTCTCTTTGGAACACACAAACTAATGGTGCATTGCACAGCCAATGACATCATAGATTTGAGCAAATATTAATACTCCATTGTTTTCTCAATAATACTCTGTAAGATCCTAAATTTTTATCCAGTTTTAACATCCTTGCTTGTAATCACCCTTAACTCTAATGTATTAAAGTAAGTGCTATTTAAATCCCTGGATTAAGACTTTCAATTTAAAAGATGGCAACTGAAAATACATTCAGATATTTTCATCCACTGTGTGAAGTTGTCTGTTACTTGTGGTTAACAATATTGTGGGCTTTCTTGCATTTGATGTTGGGTTTCTCTGAAGAACAATGGCTTCTCCTTAACGTTCTAAGTATCTCCAGTATTTGGCATGTATATTCTATGCTTTAAATTCTAAGCTAGAACATAAAAAAGAATATTTGCCTCCGTTTCAGTGTGCTGGTAGCATGCCATGTGCTCAGTATGTGGTCAGAATCATCGTTATTAGCTCTGAAAATTCCTAGGAAGAGAGAACAATGATTTCCTTTTGGTTCTCTGTCTAATTAATGTTTTAATTGTCCATTTTTTGTAGGTGGAATCCGCTGCCCCAACAGCAGTGCTCTGCAGGAGGTGCGCAGCTGCAATGAACATCCTTGCACTGTGTACCACTGGCAAACTGGTCCCTGGGGTCAGTGTATAGAGGACACATCAGTATCATCCTTCAATACGACTACAACATGGAATGGGGAATCTTCATGTTCTGTGGGCATGCAGACACGGAAAGTCATCTGTGTGCGAGTCAACGTGGGCCAAGTGGGACCCAAGAAGTAAGGACCTTTAGGATGTCTGCAGTGAATTCCGTATTCAGCCATGCAGAAGATTGGCTTGGGCTTTGCTTGATTCATTAGATGGGGTCTTTTGACGCTTGTCATTCCTGTCCCCAAGAAAAGATTTGTTTTTAGTGTGAGTTGCTGTTAAAGCTGTAACTACTTCTGAGTCTTGTACCTGGTGCCCATAAATTCTGTAAAAACCTTTCTACCTGCTGCCCATTTTCAATTCCATTGTAGCAAGTCTGCTTTTATTAAGCTATTGAGATAGAGAAAGAAGTCTTGCTTTAGGCTTGGCTGATCAATGACAGTATCCAAAGCCTAGCAATAGAGATTATCCATGACCTCCTGTATATCCCTAGGCTTGGAGGCTGACGATCTATTTAATTGAATAGAAACCATCTATGATCTGCCTTCCATTTTCCCAAGCAAATACTATATCATTAGTAAGAAGGCCAAATTTATATTTTTTGGTGGCAAAACAAGTAATCACTTACTTCCAACAGAAAGACTTGGGATCAAATGGCTGTTAAAATAAAGCAAAAAAAAAAAAAATGAGATTTGAGGTGTTAATGGTATCTTGTAACAATTGTAAGTGAATCCAAGTAAAGTAATCCAAGGGGAAAAAATCAACTCTTAGAGAAAAATTAGTGAATTATCTAAAACAAACAAATATTATTTTGAGTGGGAAAATCCTATTTATATTATGAAACAAGTAAATTTTTTAGTGATTCAAATGTCTTAGCCATATTGAATGTGGGTAGAAAAACCAACATGTTCTATATAGGTGCAAATTTGGCCTTGTATTTCCCAAATTATCAGCCAAGAGACTTTGATTTTCAAAGCTAACTGAAACAATTATATAATGAGAAATACTCTGATGTGGTCATGCAATAAGCATTGAAAATTACTGTTTTAATCATGCCCTCCCTCCCATGATCCCATGACCCCCGACTCCTCCTCCCATCCCATTCCCCCACCACTCCACAGGGAGGGTGATATTTCTTTTGCTTTTTTTTTTTTTTCTTTTTTTGTATTAATGACATTAGCTCTTTGAAAATTTTGTGGTTGTATACAAAGCACTTGGGTTACTCTGTCTTCCTCCCATCAACCTTCTTCCCTATCCCTGTAATGCACCTTATCTGTCCCTTTTCCAAATGCATTGTTTTTGGTTTTGTACTATGAATTTTTCAAGAGGATGAGGAAATTTATTTCATATATGGAAATAAGCAAGAATCCCATTATGCACTTTTATCTAGCTAACATTCCAGATACTAAAGATATTTAGCTCCCTGGTATAGCTTCAAATATATATATATATTTGAAAATATATTAGAAAATATGTGCCAAAGAGATTGGTGTAAATTGAGAGACAATTCTTCACACTTCATATGTAACCACAAAGCAGTATATTAATGGGAATTACACTAAGGTTGTTATTAATCTGACTCAGGGAATTAATTAGCAATATATTAAAATTCAGTGGTGTTAGCAGCAGCAGGGGCGAAAGCTCCAAGTCTGGCAGAGCCTGATTCTTGCTGGGATGAGAACAGAGATAGAAGTGCTCACTAACCCAGACAGGAGGAGCAATAATATACTGATTTGCAAAAGGCTTCCTCTATCTGTTTGACAGATTACGTCCTTTCAAAGGTTGCACCTTAGAACTACTACAAAATAAAGTACTGTTCCGGGATGAAGGGCGTGAATGTGATATAGGGTGGCTGTGTGAAAGAGCCTGTTGGACCCAGTGTCATGAGATCGTTCAGTAAGAAGGACATCCTGATGCCTCATACCAGAACAAGTAATCCAGTAAAAATTTACTATGCCTCCACAGCTGTTTTTCAATGATCCGGATATGCCCATATGTTTCTAGAATCATGTGGGTTTCCTTTGCCCTTAAAATTGGAGGAAATTAAACCAAGTACAATGAGTTCAAAAGAAACTGCTATTGCTCTCCTCCCTAAATGCTAGGTTAAATTCAATGAATGCTTTCCGATACAAGTCATTTGAAACAAAAATGCAAATAGAAGCCTTGTTTTAAACTCTTCTTAATAAAATAGATTGCTGAGAGATGGTAAAATCAATGTTATTGATCTCATCCATCCTCCCAAGTAACAAACTTCAACTCCTATCACATCTGTTTAATTTGACCTTGAGTAAGATTGGGAGGAGGGGGGAATCAATTCTTTGATTTAAACCACAAATGCTAAATACACACAGTTCCCAGGAAAAGAAACATGTTGACTAAAACAATTGCTTCACCAAAGGAAGTCAGAATTCATTTTATTGGATGAATCTGGACTGTATAATTTATCTTCATGTGTGCACTTAATAACTTTGTTGTTGGTAATTTTGCTCTCCACAGTTAGCCCTGTATCTTGCTGTGGTTATTTCCAAACTAAAAGAGTATCTAGAGGGTCAGTGATAACATTGTAAATTCCATTGATTTATGTAGGGATACATATTTGAAAAGCATGTAATTGAGTAATGGCCTCCCATTGTTAAAGTTATAAAATGTGTCATTGAAAAGAACTGCTTTCAATAATAATTACTGACCAGTGGCTCCATAATCCCAAAAGAATTCTTTAGATTATATGTTGTATTTTGTCATAGATGTTTTCAAGTTAAATTATAACTCCAGTCTTATAAAAATCTAATCATAAAAACACATCAATTCCTGTCATTCATATTTAAATATTTTCTGCCCAATATTTTTGACAGTCATAGCAATTAGGGAAATTCAAGGTTATACACAACTAAACAGAGAAGCTAGTGTTATTTGACATGTTAAATCTTAAATATTTTTGAAAATAGACATCCAAATAAACATGAGTATATAAAATAAGAGATCTCATTTTTACAATAGAAAAGAGCATTATATTTGTGTGTGAGAAATGGCATGTAGGCAAATAATTATAGGATATGTCAAAAATAAAGTATCAGCAAAATGCTAAAAGAAATTTTTTTAATACAAATGGTGTTCATTATTATTTCTCATTGTTTAAAGGTGATTAGTATAGAACTAAGAATGATGGCATAAACCTTAAGCCTCAGCATTCAGGAAGCAAAGGCAGGCAGATCGCTGTGAGTTTGAGGCCAGCCTAGTTAGTCTTCATTGTGAGTGCTAGGCCAGCCAGGGCTATAGAGTAGAACCCTGTCTCAAAACCTAAATTAAACAGAGAAAGAGAGAAAGGGGAGAGAGAGAGAGAGAAAGAGAGAGAATGGAGGAAGGAAGACAGCAAACAAGCTTGATGACCTGTGTTCAATCCCAGAACCAACATTCAAGCACTATCACATGCATACACACACATGAATACATACATATGATGATAATATTAATTATTATTATTATTAAGAAGCATCTATAATAATAATAATAATTTTGTCCTACTATTATGATATACTATTATGAAATGTCTATAACACGGAAATTTTGCTCTACCATTTATAATTAGAATTCCCACAAAATTTTATGATAATACATATTAGATAATACATATTTACTAGTGGGGAGATTATTCTAAAGGGAACGATATAGTGGCTCTATATCTCCTAGATGGCATGAGTGCCATTAAATATACATATTTGCTTGTGTACTCTTGTCCAAGTAAATCTGAAGAAAATTTAGCCGAATGGTGCTTGTTAAAAGCAGCTGTGAAAGCTAAGTAATAGAGTCTTGTAACGGTGACTCATACAATAATTAAAACTGGAAGGAAATTAAGATGCTTCACTTCATGGATTGTTAAAGGCTCAATAATTTCTTTGCTTGTTCTAGGTGTCCTGAAAGCCTTCGGCCTGAAACAGTGAGACCTTGCTTGCTTCCTTGTAGGAAGGATTGTATTGTGACTTCATACAGTGACTGGACACCATGTCCCTCTTCCTGCAAAGAAGGTATGGGGTATAGATTGTGAAGGCTTCTCACCAGGGCCCTCATTCAGCAGGATATTTAACTTCTAAATGATCAAAATGTGTGATTCTTCTACACGGCCTTGTTGTCCTGGCTTTTCATGAATCTCAAAACATTTGGGTTTCTCCCTGGAAATAATATTACATTAGAGTAACTGGAAGGCAGTAAATTTTATGCCAGAGTATGCCTTGAATTTTTATTATATACCTCAAATTGAAATGGTTCTGGATTTTATTAATACATCTTATCTTTCATTAATCTTTAAAAAATGGATACTGGTCTTATGAACTTTTAAGAGAGTTGCTAGTGACCTCAGTACACATGGCTTCTATCCTACTTACAGGCAAGAAATAGCCTGAGACCAGGTTTGCTACAGATTCAATTATTTGGCCCAAGGATGGGAATAAAGCAAAGAGAAAAATGGCCGAGTTGACTCCCTGCCAACACTTAATGTGCCATGAGGCATTTCCAAGATGAGTATTTGTTCCCTGCGAGGCTTGGTTTTGCTTTTGTGATTCGCAAAGACTTTTTTTTTATCATGGTCAGTGCCCTGATAAATCTTTCCTTACCCTTCAGGACATGGTCTTTTAGCAGTCCTACTGAGACAAATTTTCACACCTTCCATGTGATTTACACAATAACAGCAAATTTTCTCTCAGAGTGACAGGCAGCATCCCCTCCTACTTTCTAGTTTGCTTTCTCAACCAGGAGACTTGCATATAAGAGTAAACTTCTAGTTTAATGACTATTGTAACTTGGTAAATTTTATTTTGAACTACTCAATTTTTCTAAATGTCTTAATTGATTGTTTTAACAGCTTATCATTGTGTATAGTTAAAGCACAACTTTTTGGAGTTTTTGTTTATGAGGTAGGTCCTCAGTCTGTAGAGCAGACAGGCATGGTTCTTCCAATCTGGAATATTTATGTTATGTTTTATAGCATACTGCTAAAATATTATATAAACTAAACTGCTACCTGAGCCAAAAGAGATTTTATATCAATGTCTTAAAATTCATAGTAGCTTTGGTGGAGAAAGAATGACTGCCATTAGTTTGCCTGTTTGTTTGTTTCTTTGTTTGTTTGCTTGCTTTTAAGACAGAGTCTCTCAGCCCAAGTTGGCCTTGAACTTACTAAGTAGGTGAGGATGATCCCGGCCTCACCTCTTGCCTGGCCAGTATTTTATTCATCAACCAATAAAAGAAACATATATAGAATAGCATCTCCCATCAAGCATGGTCTTGACTCCTTTGCATATCACTCCTTCTCTACGACTGGATTCCAGGAGTTCAACTCAGTGCTTAGCTATGAATCTCTGTTTCTGATCCCATAAGCTGCTAGATGAAGGCTCTAGGATGGCATTTAAGGTAGTGATCAATCTCACTATAGGGGAAGGGCATTTAAGGTAGCCTCTCCACCATTGCTTAGCTTGTTAGTTGGGGTCATCCTTATGATCTTATTTCTTTATTTTCCTAAAAGTCACATAAAATATGGTTATTATTGGTTTGGTCAATATCAAGTAATACACTTTCCTATAGACTGTGATCTCTGAAGTATTTAGTGCTGTTCGTCACTTTATTCATATATATTATATATTACATTGCATCACACCACATCACGTTACATGTGAAACCTTTTTTTCATTTAGTTTGGGATCTGGTTTTAGTTTAGTCTATAATAATTACAAGCTCTTGTAAGATAGGCACAGCATGCATGCTCATGCTTAACTATGCAGTAAATGCTATAGTTTGGTGGATTTGAAGCAATCTTTCTGAGAAACTTCTAGGAAAAGTATTCAAATAAATAAACAAATAAAACAGTCTTAGAAGATTCGAAATGAATGTTATTAATTAGCAATTTCCTAATAGGCTTATTATTTTCAATGCTTCACTATTTCCTTAAAAGAAGTCATCATCTTTCACTCTATAATGTCTATCAAGTGATGCAATGTGTCAAGGTTGATTCCAAATAGAAGGTATCAGCAGTCAACAAGTTGATGTCCTAGGGGTATGAGATGTGTGAATAAAAGTTTTTCTAATCTCTTAATTTGTGTAAATAAAGCATCATCACTGGGCATGAGGGTCAGTGAAATAAAAATAGGGGTAAAGAAGAGAAGTAATGACAGACAGTCTAGGCAATATCAAAATCTCATTTAAACATGCACTTAAAAAGAGATTCCTCAACACACTGCTAGTATATCTTAATTCATAAAGCTGAATTTGCAAAAATTAAAGGAAAAAAATGGCTATGAGCAGAGTTAAGATTGCTCCAAAACAATACAAGAGCAGGAAGGGAGATGGAACACCAAGGACAGTTATGAGTACACATAATAATAACGGTTGCATTGGGAGAGAAATTAGGTCATAAAGGCAACAAAAGACCACACAAGAGTGCTAGGAAATAGATGTATCAGCCCCTATTGAATCTGAAGAATTTCAGTAAGATAAAAAAAAAATAGATGAACTTTCAAGTTAGGAAAAATGGTCAGTATATAAAATATTTAAAAATGAAAATATGCAAGTACTAATGGTTATAAGACTGAGGTCTTAGCAGAAGACTAAGTAACTGATACAAGACAAAAGAGAAGAGCATGATATTAGTGGAGGAATAATAATATTAAATGCAGTGTATATAGTGGAATAAACTTGTTATGTAACAAAGGTAGAGAAGATTGCAGTGAGGGATATGTCAAGGCCACTAATTAGTGAAGCTTCTTAAGGTTACTGTTACATGGCAGATAGATAGTGAGGTTAATGTCCGAAGTTTAGGAGAGTTGGAAGTTTTTAAAGCTAGAAGAAAGGAGAAAGAATAAGAAGTAACTACATGGAGCTCAGTAGCATCTGTTAAAGGAAGTACTGAATATTTCAATGAAGATACTGTAGATGAGAGATCGGGGTTCCAAATGAGTGTGTAAATAAACATATCAGAGGATAGGGAGGAATGAGAAACTCTAATAGGGTAAGTCTGCAGACAGTGCTGTGGATCTGACTGATAATAAACACTTGGGTGTGGATTTGGTATAATGTGAGTTATAATGGGGGTGAGTTGGATTGATTACTTGGTCATATATAGGTAATTGTCCTAAGTTAAAACTCAAGCCGCCACCAGATGATAGTACTTTCCTAGGTATGGGGTGAGAGTGGCCCCTCTGCACAGGAACACCACCAGCTCAGAGCCTCTGTGGTGATGGACAATATAAGCAGGGCTCTACTTGGCTGGGCAAAAGCTCTCTCACCTGTACAGCAAACCAGCTCTACTCACATTGAGTGAAAGCTATGTGCTGAGTCTCCTAGAAAATACTTTTAAAAACCGGAAAGCTAGGCTCTTAGATTGAAAACTAACAGTGGAAAATACTTTGTGCTCTCCAAGAACCTTTTTCTCTTCTCCTGCTTACTGCTCCCTCCCTTACTGAGCAAGGGGGACTGTGACAAAGCAAAAGGGTACTTTTGCTTTGGGGAAGGAAATGAAAAAGTGGCATAAGTCTAATTTTTCCATTGTTTACTTAAGAAATGATCTAATCCAAATGCCATTGACATTGCACTGACTTCAGCATGCATCTCTAAATTCTAAACAAAGCATCGTGTCCAGTAAGAGGCAATGATAAAAAAAAAGATTAATTTGGGAATGGAGTACTTTTCAATTTCAATTTTCAGGAAAATCCTAAATTTTATGAGTTTGGTATATACTAGATTATATTTACTACAACTTGGAACTACCCTCCTTCCAAAAATCAGTTTAAGGGAGTAAAATTAGAGTGGAATATTGCAGAAAATGAAAAAAGTAGAAGCAAAGACAAAAGAAGAACAGAAGTTGGAGCATACGAGTTGGAATATCCTTGACTATGCATCAGGTGCATAGTCTAATACAGTCCACCATAACTAGACAGTTAATGCTTAGGAACTTCAGCTTATACTGTATCATTGATGCTGAGCTCACTGCGTGTTCCAATCTCCAGTCCCTTGGCCTCAATTCTGTGTCTAACTTAGTTATGCAAATTGAAGAAGGATAGGGAGTGACTTCCTCTATTTTGACCACCTGGGAAAAAAAGGTGATCTTTTTCCTAATGAAGAAAGGAAAGTATAAAACAGATTGAGGGAGGGAAGGGAGGAAGGAAGAAAATAAAGAAATCCTCTTCAGATGCTAACCAAGTGATCAAATGTTTATTTACTCTGTTTTAAAATATTAGTTCTAAGCAACCACTAAAATAAAATAAATATTCACAATAATAGAAGGGTGGACCTTAGCAGTGAATGGAGAGGTTGTGAAGGGGAACAAAGAAAAATACAAAGAGAAAATAAATCAAAGTTAATGTACGTACCTGTAATGGATAGGAAAATCAGCTCTGAGATTCCATTGACCAAAATGAAAAGCAGAAGCATAATGGATTGTAAGGGCAACAAGAGACATGAATATACTCCTCACTCTGAAGGGTTAGAGGCATTTCCCACCTGGGCATGAAGCTGGAAGTCATTTGAACAATATGATAAATACAGAAGCATTGGTAACATTAAAGTTCTACTGACATTCTTAGATCTCTGAATCTGAGTAAGTATTCAAATTTATATTTTTATAATAAAAAGTCCATAACAGTGTTCCCAAATATTTCAATTCCTAGTTGCCAGCAATTCCAGTCCCCAATTCCCTGCTCCATTAACTATACTATTCCTATTATTAGTTAATATAATCATTGTAGTTATAAATACGATTCACACACTATGGGAATAATGCTAACAGTTCACAATAATCCAGAATCTTGAATTAGAACAAGGTGCACATATCTATTCAGCCGGTCCTGTGCTCTTTCTTTACGTGACCATCCATTACAAGCTCCTGAAAGTTTTTTAAAACAGATTCTTAAGCCTTGCTTTGAGGATGTTGACTCAGTAGTGCTGGCTTTGGGCTTAGCTGTCTGCTATTATTGTTTCTGTTTTAAAAGGGCTTATCCAGTAGAGTCATTCAGAAATCACTGGTACCTGATGGGCTCTTCTATCTGGTGCAAGAGTCCTCTCTAAGCATGGCTGCCATTGTTTGTCCACCACTGTGTTAAGGGACACCTTGAGTTCATAAAAAAGGGTTGTGTTGGGAGAAAAATTTTCACTTTCATATCATTTTACCTTATAAACACAATAACTTTTGAAATATTTTCTTTCCTTTTGGTTGAACTTCAGTTGTTAAAGCTTGTAAACTCTACAAAGACCCTGTTGTTCCTATAGTCTATGTATGAAATATTCAATAATTTTGCAAAATAATGTCATTGCATGAGAAATTATATTATCTGCTGATGTAATTCTCTACAGAATTCTTTTCTGAAATTGTAGCATGAAATTGTAGCTACTCACTCTTAAATGTATGTGTATCAAAATTTGAAATATAGTTCATCAGTGCAGATAAACCCTGTAACTCTATAATCTAAAACTCAAATTTGAATACCCTTTAATCAGTAATACATTTGTCCTTCCAGACTGTTACCTTTCTTGAAGGTAAAGCTCCCTTCCCAGTTTTAGAAATCATTTGGACTTATTTACTTACAGTAATAGCTGCTATTTTTGACACTTTCCTAAAAAAGTCTTTCTCTGAGAAATTTCTTTTGTTTCTCCACATAGAACATGCGGCTCAGACTGTGGCCTGAATTGGGGCTCTTAGGCTGCTTAGCATGAATAATAAATAGCTGGAATAATTTGTAAGTTACAAGTTTCAAAATTAAGAGAGTAACAACAAAATAGAATTATAATATTGAACATATATTCCTAAGGAAGATTCACAAGAATATGTGTCCCACGTGGCGAACATGGTTACTTGAGATGACATGAAAATAAGCTTTCAGTAAGGGGAAGGATTTAATTAGATCGTCCATATCTCTCAAGAGGACAGGAAAATAAAATAAAATAAAATAAAAACAATTGCTTTGAAACTGCACAGTAGAAGAACTCACTGATTTTGGAATGGTTTATCTTTGTTTTTTTCATTTTAAAATATAAACAGATTGAGTTTTGGATGTAAGTGGTCTGTGAGACAAGTAGTAAATGATGAGATGAAAGGTACATCACAGCACAGGTTGCTGGATGCCGAGGAATTTCTTTATCACCAGCTGCTGGGGAGAGATTCTGTTACCGGTACATTGTGCTGAGGTTGAAAAGTTGCTTCATTGCAGGGGACTCTGGACCCAGGAAGCAGTCTCGACATCGCGTCATCATTCAGCTACCAGCCAATGGAGGCCGGGACTGCTCAGACCAATTATATGAAGAGAAGGCCTGCGAGGTCCCTCCCATGTGCCACAGCTACAGGTAAAGGGGGAAAGGAAGTATATGGTGCATTGGACAAATCCTAATCCTATCTTTAAGCTGATACTCCTTCCACCAACTCAGTAGGTTGTTCACTGCTGAAGCAACCACTCCTCACCTCTATTTCAAAGAACTTCTCCACTTCTAAATTTACTTCTCCGAAGGCAAATATATGTGTAAATTTGCCAGCTGTGTATGTAGAGATAATGCCTTATGTTGATAGAAACTGTAAGAAATATAGAAAAGAGTTAACAATTAAAAGGCACACGTTCTTAAGAAGGGACTTATTTGTCGCAGGGGAATAATCAGGATTGGTCTTCCTTGTCTCCAAAGAACCCTTGTTTCTCCTAAGTGTGAGCATTGTGGTTCAGGAAGTGACATTGTTCCTCTGCAATGCTAGTGAGATGTCTGAGTGTTCTAGTCATCTATTAACAACTCCAGGAAAGTTGAAGTCACTGAAGCTACACATAACCTGAAAATTTTATTACAGGAATCTGGCCTCTTTGCCATGAGACTAAAACTTTCTTACTGAACCTTGTTGAAGTGTATCATTCAAGTCCTGACAATAAATGAAAAAATTCTATGGTATTAGTTCATGAAATGTATGATCACAACATGATCATTTAAGTGGATATCAGTCACAAATTTTCCATCTTAATACATGTACCATTAATTCAGAAATGACAAATAGAATTATTGTTTTTACACCATAAACATGATTGACTATCTGGACAGCATATTGAGTTTTTGGAATTTGCATTTGTTATGGGATATATAATCTCAGTTGCTATTACCCCTGCAGTGATCATACAAAGGGTACCACAGAGAAGACCCTTGGCCTGACTGCAGTTTAGTTAATGGAATGCAACACTTCTGGTGCCAGCTGGGCCATCTCTTGGAAGTATGGATAGCAAGTTCAAATGTTCTCTGTCCCCCTGAGAAGTCCTTTTCCACAGAACTTGCCAATGATACCTTCTTGTCTCTAGAGCCATAGGAAGAATTTTGTAATTAATGTTGCCTTAAGAAGGGGTGACTAAGTAGCTAAATTAAAATTACATGAAACTGAATGTGGCTAAATAACCTGTTTATTTGTTTTAACACTACATTATCTGTGATTTTTCTGCCATCTCTGCTTCTTCTCACTGGGATTTTATCCTTTTCCTATAGGTGGAAGACACACAAATGGCGCAGGTGCCAGTTAGTTCCTTGGAGCATTCAACAGGATGTCCCTGGAGCTCAGGAAGGCTGCGGGCCTGGACGGCAGGCAAGAGGTGGGAAGCTACACACCAGAGTCATTTTGCATGCACTTCTCCAGCATTCATTCTCCTATCGCCCCCACCACTGCCTTGTTGCATTTGGCTTTGATATCAGGCTTGGCATACAGAGCAGAGCGGAGCAGATAGGAACAGCTTTGCCCTATTCTACAAAACACCAGAAAACAGAAACTTAGCTTTTGAAGTTTTGTTCTTTGGAATGAACACATATCTATTGAGTTCTTCCCTAACTAATAGGTGGAAGAAAATAAGGTGTAGGTTTTGGTTATGACATAGATAATAATATAACTAAGCATTTGTATATTTTAGCTATTGGTAATTTATAGCGCCTTACTTGACGCCTTAAAAACCACTATGATTCATGTGCCCTTGTTTGTGTGCATTTTATCTGTCCATACACACATTGTAGTTTAGCTGGTTAGCTTTCCTGGAATTCATAATGGTAATATTCCTAATATCACAGACCTAATATCCATGACCCTGATTATACTTCATACTATCTTTTAAATTGCATATTTATTTACTCAAAGCGTGCAGTAAGTGAGGTACAGACTGTTTGCTCTTCTACAAAACAAAGAATCCTGCAGAACTCTATGTATGGTGGAAAGCTTTCATATCTGCATTAATTATGTGCTGGATTTTTATAGAAAATAAATCTGAATATTTGGAAAATATTGTTCATACCCATGCATGAAGTAGAAAACTTGGTCTTTAGGTATTTAATTATTTTCACTTACACAAACTGTTAATAGTTAATACATACTTTAGAAGTGCAGTTCAATATGTAACTGAACATGCATCTACCTTTCTACAACCTTTTCAGATGTGTTTTGCTGTCTTATGTGTATTCATTTTCTTAAAAACAATACAGAAGTTTGATATAGAACAGAATTCCCGTTTTTATAGACTTGACTATGATCCTCGTTTTTGCATTTAAAAAATGATGTATTTTTAATCTTGAGAAAAACCCTTTTAAAAATAATCTATTTTTATATTGTTCTTTTAAGAAATCTTCACTTGAAATATAAATTTTACTCTATTATTAATACTATTGACATGGTGATATTTAGGATCCATTTTACTTGAATAACTTCCATTATCTTCTGCTGTGGGGGATGCTGTCTGTCTGTGATGTCCCATGAGCTGATGTGATGTTCTGGTCTTTTGTGACTCAAGCAGTGAATTGAACAACACAGCACAGACCATCTCATACTGATAGTGAAAATGCAGATTTATTAAAAATTAAAATAAAAGTACTGAATATCTTCCAGTGTATGGGAACATGTTCCAGCAAACATGCAGATTAAAAGCTCTAGGTTTATAGTCCAGGTGCATTGACTTACCTGAGGACAGAGAGATCTTTCTTTGGTTGTTGTGAGTGGTGTGTGTGTGTGTGTGTGTGTGTGCATGCACGTATGCGTGCATGAGCATGAATGTGCCCATATTAGTAGAGGCTTGTTTATGCCTTGAGACAGCCTGGGAGTATCCAAGTGATGGCCTTTCCTGGTTGCCTGGCCTGGAGTTACAGTTACCCAATTCTGACCCTAACTTTCATTCTCATCTCCATCATGAACCTTAGATAAAAAAATCACTCTGGCTAGAGCGATGATGAACGGAGAGTCACCCTTCCCATTGCAAATTTTTCTTCAGAAAATTGAGTACCATAAAGTCTTATCATTCACTGATAACTCCTCCTTCAAACAAAATATGAATTCATGTCCATTTCTGGTTCTACACAGAGTTGCTAATGATCAGGTGCACAGGTGAGTTGGAAGTCAAGACATAAATTTCAGTTCCAATTCTAGTACAAATGCAAGGTGAGCCTTTCTAATCTAGTCACCCTCCTATGTGGCAAAGAAAAAGTCTGCTCCAAAGTAGGATTCTTCCAATTTTAATATGTAACTACACACAAATAGTATTCAGAGATTAATGGTCAGAATCTGAAAGGTATATATTAAAGGATACCACTAGAGGAAATGTTGGATATGATTAAACTGAATGGTTTTGTGTCATCTTGACAAGCTAGAACCATCAGAAAGGAGAGAACATCAGTTGAGAAAACTATCTCCATAGATTGTCTTGTAGGCAGGCCTGCGGTACATTTTCTTACATAGGGAGGGCCCAGCCAGTTGTGTGTGGTACCATCCTGGGCTGCTGGTCCTGGGTTCTACATGAAAGTGGGTTGAGCAAGCCTTCAAGAGCAATCCATTCCTTCATGCCCTCTACATCAGCTCCTGCCTACACATTCCTACCCTGTTTTAGTTCCTGTCCTGACTTCCTTCAATGACAAATAGTGGTATGAAATCATGGTGTTCTATAGCAGCAAGAGTAGCCCTAACTAAGACAATGATGAAAGTACACGTGTCAGATGGCTTTATAATTCAAAACTCTACTATTAAAAGCTATACAAACTTGAGTGATTCACTTCTTCCCTCTGAGGCTGAAAACACAAAAGCCTTACAGAACTGGGCTCATGTTTTCTTCACTGAAAGACAATTCCTTCTCCTTCCTGTCAGTCCACAACCCTAATGACAGTCCACAGACTGTCACAGGGCACAGAAGCAACAGTACAACAAGGATATCTTGCACTTTAGACACACTGTCTGTACAGAAACTGATTTTTTATGATGATCATTGACTTCATTGACTTTATCATTTCCAAATCTTAGACTGTTCTTTTCTGGTCCTAGTGAGTACATCTTAATATCTAATACACTTATCCACTTCCTCTGAGGAAGGGGACATTGTCTTTGGCTTCCTCGAGGACACTTTCTCCTGGCTTTTGAATGTTCATTTGTTGGCTTCCTGTTTGGTAGCTCTTCCTCCCCAAGTCTTTAAGCAATGCTTGCTAATCCTGGCCCAGACCCCACGCTGCTCATTCTGTCCCAGGAATATCTGTTTCAGGAAATCTCAGAGGATAGAGTTGCATTATAGCAACTGATTTGTGTGTAAGTAACTTTAGGAAAACCACTTTCTTGGAAAGGTGCTTCTTGTCTTTATTATTCCAGCCTGTGGAGATTTATTTTCCTTGCCTATGTCCCTATGGTCGTGAGATGGACAGAAGGTTTTCTTACATTGATATTCACAGTGGATTCCAGAACTGTGAATGATTAGCTTGCCAATGTCTCATGGTCCTTGTCATTGACATCATATGGTCACAGGCAAAATAAAATTAAAGAAAATGGTTTCCTTTAGTGATTGAAGTAATCACATTGCCTTAGTTAAATCAGCAAAGTCTACAGAATGGGCATGTCTGTGTTGCTAGTATATCAGACTTTCTAAGCCAGCTACTCATTCACTTGTGACTGCATTGAGGAAGCTCTTCAGGAAGAACCATGGGTGTTGTGAAAGGGAGGGGATATTGAAACCAAGGAGCTTGCATTTCTTAAGGAAATGAGATGATTTACTCCCAATCAACAAATAGGATTTAAACACTAAAAGCAATTGTCTACAGATCTGATCATCTGAAGTTGAAGGAGCAAAAAAGATTTAAAGGATGGGCTTGTCCCATCTTCCTAGAATAAGCAGAAAGAAGAGAGAAACTCACAGTGAGATCAATTCTACATGCTAAGCATTTGAGGTTAAAAAAGAAATGTAATTAATAAGCTCATAGAAAAGTAGGTAGGTTGAGGCCACAAAGATGTGAGCAGGAGCCTGGGGAGACTTTGTGGAGACCTTATAAGTGTCAGGATCAGTATCTGAGACAGTGTTCAATAAGTGAAATGAGCAAAGCCCGATGAAAGCAGCATCTTATCTGTCAGCTCGTGCAGAATAAATTAGAATGATAAGACACTTGGGTTCAGCTTCCGGCTAAGACACTGTTGGAACAATAAAAGGCAGAACTGTCAGGGGCTCAGATAAGAGCCTCCATATGAAAATGGACAGAAGTAAATAGATATTGAATTTAAAATAGCAAAGGTGTTTGTAGGACTTCACAGTAGAGAATAGAATGGAGAGTAGAAATAAGAGTTAAAGCTGAACCTTTTTCATTTCACAATAGTTCTGCTGGTAGAAATTATTAATTCTGAATTCAAAGTTAATTTGTGAAGTTGTAGTTTGCATAATCACTAAGTATAAAGCACCTAATCTGAAATTGAAACAGATATGTAATTGTAAAGGTGACATAGAATAGTAGATGGTTATTTGACCAATATTCCATAAAGTGATTTTGTGTATTATAGACAATCTCAAATATTGTATGTGTTTATCCAAGTATCCAAGATATTGTATGTATTTATATAAAAACATGCTAGTAATATTTTCCATTAATATATTTCTTTTTTCTCCAGCCTACTCAGCTTCATTCCTTTTAATCTAAAGAATTTAGATTTAATTTAATTTTTCTATAACTTACTAACTTTAGATAACATTTCCTGTTTACACCAGAAATTCATTATGTGAATTAAAATATAACCAATATTTGTGAACACCATGTTAGAACTATAAAAATGTATGCATTTATTGCATGGCCTTTATCAAATGATTTGCCTCAACTATGGCCTGTCAACCAAATCTAGCATATAGCCTGTTTCTCTGTAGTTAACATTACATTGGAACTCATTTCGTAATGCATTGGCTATGACTGTTTTCAAAATATGGTGGCAAAGTTGAGTAGCTACAATAGACAATATATCCCAGAAAGCAAAAATTAATTGCTATCTTAGCTTTACAGAAAAAAGTTTTTGGCCCCAATCTAAATTGGGAAGCAAATAATTATTGATATAGTCACAACTTCTATTAGTACTACAATCAATAGCATCCAATACTCCTATCTTATCCTTAGCTCAAATTTCTAAAGGAAGGCCATCAGTGAACAAACCCATTTAATGTTACAAGAAAGACAGTCTCCAAAATCTATTATAGTGATAAAATATCTCTCTTAAAAATGAAATAGCATTCTTTTGGAAATATCAGAGTACAGCATTGACTTTTTGAACTCCTACAGTAAAGTTTTAAAAGAAAAGAAATATGTTAAAGATTAACCCTTAAAATACAGA